TACAACCCATCAAGAAATTTGTAAACGGTCATATAAAAAGGTCAGATAGGTATTACATAGTATACAACAAACCCTATATAATAGCATACTCTAATAAGGGTTATATTGTAACAAAATATAGGTCGTGCTGCTAGAAAACGCCTTTCTTTTGACCCTTTTGTAGCCACTCGACATGCAATGTCCACTGATACATATATAAAGAAATCGATAAAGTTGCGAAATGTTTTCCCAAATCAATATATTAACCTGCACTTATCGTTGATGGTATTTTGTAGTAGGCGAAGAATAAACTAAGAAAATAGCTTTCAATTTTATCTTTCATTAATTAACTAACATTATTTACAGAAGTGCATACATATGTACTTTCTCAAAATACAATGGTATGTAATAAAAATTATGATATATAGTATACCAAGAAATCTAGCTGCAATTTTAGTACTTTAACAAATTAACAAACATTATTGTGGTACCTATATAATTAAGCTGGACATTGTTCGTAATTTTGATGACTTTAATAAAGTTTTAATCTATTATTCCTGACCAAGGCTGCCACCTTTCAAAACTGACAAACCAGAAGGTTTCGAAAATAATATTTTTATTAATTTTAACTATTAAATCTGGCTAGATCTTGTCTGTCCATAAGTTCTCAAAAACGAAAGTGGTACTTACTGATAGGGATAGATAATATTTTGAGTTTTTGTTTTGAATATTTAAATTGGTCAAAGACCGGACTTGTCTTCTAAAATTGATTAAAAGTAGCGACCACCAGCTTCTTACAAAAGCGCCTGTAGTCGCAACCACAAGAAGCCACCTATGGCGACTACAAGTGGCTTAAGTGTTGTTGAAAAAGGTGTCTGTCATTGTGTTTATGAAGACACTAAATAACAAATCAGTTTAATTGTTTAAAAAGCATAGATGTGAAAGAGACCGCAAAAGATATTATTTATTTTCCGCAACTAATTAATTCTGATAAACCATATCACGGAAACTTTTTGTTTAATATATATGTCTGTAAAAGTTAGCAAATTAATTCTTTTTTTTAACATTACATAAACTAAATAATGATTTCGTTTTTGACAGTTCCCACATTATAGCCCAAGTCCAATAAGTTTCGATTTCCTTTCGAAAAAATTCGGTTACGTAATATCATCAGCTTTTTTCTCATGAACTGCGGTCAGTTCCGTGACAGGACCGTTTGGTATAAAAATAAAAAAACCGTACAGTTCGCAACTAAGTATAATATTAAAATAAACTCAATGTTCCTGCCGTTGAACAAAATCATAACTGGTCACTTCGCGATCCTACCACTAAAAAGTGAAGGTCATCACAGACAAAAGCAGTAAGCATTTACACTGTCTGTATGTCTTGTGAAGGTTAACATACGCTTTGTAGAACACGTAGACACATCTAATATAAGTCGTCGTTTTTACTTTTAACTTATAACATATAACTGCTTATTATTTATAAGAAAAATTAACCGCAGGGTCCACTGCCCACTATGTTGTCCTTTTATTCTACTACGACTTAAAATTAGTATATTTATAGTACTAACAGTGGGTAATATTACTAAACTATCCTTTCTAGGGTTATCGGCTAAGTATTTTGATGAATAATTGTCAAACAGTTCGGAAAATATCTGCTTATTTATTACCCTACTTGTCCTATGTTATATGCAAAATAAGTATTTCTCTGCCATCTCCAATCTTCAACCCGAAGTTTCCTATAGGTGGGACGTTTAAAATTGGCATAAACAAGAGCATGTTCAAAGCCAATTTTGGTCGTACCAACTATAGCTAGATCTCTAATTATTTGTGAACAGTAAATTTAATGTAGATCTAAAGCCATCTAAAGTGGCGACTGAGGTAATAAAACTTCAAGATGATCGATATGCTTATTCTGTTGAATGGCTAACATCCACAGAAATAAGGAGGACGACTTGTATTTCGAGTGGTGGAATTCGTTTGAATACACCCTTCTAAAAGTTTTGCAAACCATTTTGACCATTGTAGACACAGGTACATAACAGAATGTAAAACGTGTTTCGTTTGAATAATGTCATAATATTGTGATAAAATTGCACTTAGACGTAAGCAAAGGCTGTCTGTTGTTGGTAGTTTTCTAGTATGAGCCGCCACTTCAGATAACTCAGAGTTTATCTCGTCTATTTCCTATTGACTACCATAACACCCTTTGTTGTCCTAGCATTTCTTATACCTCCATATTTCTAATAATAACCTTTTTGAAAATACGTACAGGAAGGTAATTATTATTAACATTTCGCATATTCAGAATACGTTGACCTGTAAACAGCTCTTGCAGAAAGAATCATTACACTGTATATTTGTGAGGGCAAAGCACGATATGGGACCATGAGCAATGGACGCTTTTTGAACCGTAAAAGCTCGTTCCTGCTTTAGAAAATGTACTTAAAACGATTGAATGTGATTTACGTGGTAAACGTGTTTCCCAAACTGGTGCATAAGTCGGTGGGAAGTTTTTTAACAGTTAGTACAATGTATAGCAGTGTTCATTGAAGATAGGCAGGTTCAGCAACCCATTAAACACCAGAAAATGGCTCCACTTGATCATACTCATAGCAGCATTGTATTTCTTTGTTAACACAACAAAATTAGAATAATTTAACGCTTGTAATTGTAAATCTTCAACGTACTCTGCTGTAGTTTAACGTAGTATTTTCATGCGGTACGACTGAGTCATATTTTTTGTAATTTATTGCCTCTCAACGTGTGCTTTTGGTTTTGATTCAGAGATACAAAAAGGTGACAAAATCACCTATTTTATTATAATCGTTTCTGTTAACCATTATTCTAACATCAGATAATGATTTATTTATAGAAGATGTGACTAAATCCAAAACAACGGTCTGTAGCCGTTAAAAATAGTACATAAATTACTGTACAATTGTTCTGATTTATTGAATTACTCTTTACATTTTTTAGCGTTGCTTTATGTATAAGAAACTAAACTAAACTCTAAAGGTCTCAATAAAAGTATTAATAAGAGCAAAGACAAAATTTCCATCATTACAAGTGTTGACCTCATAAAGGTATTATTAATTAACGACTGCGGGTAATGTGTTATTCGCTTAAGTTAACTGAAAATTCTTTCTGTGACATAAGCACCTACCTGCAGGTAATTGGCAATTATTGTTACAAAGTAAGTCACAAAAGAAATAAACAATTATATTTTACGTCAGGAGTCATGCCTGTTAGCAACTTAATGTCGTTAAAGATGCTTTTATGGAGAAGTGGTGGCAGTGGCTCAAAATGTTTTATGAAACTGTTTAAATTTTTACCAAATTTCATTAAGAATAATTTCCATTCTAATTTCAAAACAATTTACCTACTACTAAGTATTACAATAGGTATAGATAAGAGTGTAATATTTGTAAAATTCGGTTGTTCTTACAGGACGTCCGGAAAATCCTTTTCTACAGTAGCATTTCCGCAGTTGAAGTCCCAATGTGTACTTATATCAATCCAAAACTCACAAAACTTTTTTCGCGAGCTGCAAAGGACTCGAAGTAGTCTTTTTAACAACACGAACGCGTTACTACTTGTGACTTAACAAAATGCAAGCAAACTCTGATCATTATGCGTTACCATCACCGGTGATGACGGGTATGACCAAACTTGTCGAGAATGATGATTTCCACCAAATGGTTTGCGACTGTCTTGACGTCCAAACAAAAGTCACTGTATTACAGCAGGAACTTCGAGGCCTCTCAAAAACCGTTATCGCGTTTCCTTAACCATTCGATTTAAAAGAATAATAATAATAAGAAGAAGAGTAAATAGGTTTAATAATGCATATCTTCAGTTTATTAACACGGCCATAAGACAGGAAGAGGCCCCTGATGAGGTATTAAATTCGACTTGTTTATTAAATGCGATAGAATAATTAATTTAATTCAGAAATGCTGTCGCAAACAATCTGACACATCAGAGAGACGCTACATGGTTTGTTTCTGAACCAAAACAGAATATTAAAAAATTGTTTTTTGTAGAAGAACTAGACTAATTCGTAGATATTTTAGCTAGATTTCAGTTTATAATTTATATCACGCCGATACTACGACTGAATCTGATCGTGGCGTCAACCGAAAGTCCGATCCTGACTCTAACCTTCACAAATTGTTTTTTAATATAACGAAAAACCTATCACAATTTTTGAATTTCTCCACAAAAAGCTACAAATCATACCACTCATGATGACAACGGTGTTCGAATGTAACCTAACGATCACCTTGAGGTGATCAACCCTATGGGTGTCGAGTTTTATAAAAGGAAATGAAGAGAAAAACGCCTCTATAAAAGTACAGTAGAAACTCGATTATCCGGCCCTCAGTTATACGGATTCGCGATTATCCGGACTACCGACAAGGCTTGGAACAGAATACTTAATCAGGAGAATGAAAATTCAATAACCAATACGGATGATTTTACAATTTTGAAAGATATAAATGAGCTAATGTTAAAAATACAAATATGCCAGGATTGTGATGATGATGATATGAAAGAGTGGGTCACTTGTGATAGTAATGATCAAGGCTTTCAGATTATGTCAGATGACGAAATCGTAGAAAACATAATGCAGATAAATAAACAGCAAGAAATGCAAGAAGATGAAACAGAAGAAAATCTAGATGTGGAAAATGATGCAGGACCATCTCATGATGAAGCACTTCATGCCCTGGAAACAGCTCTCAAGTGGTTTGAAAAACAAACAGAGAGTGATACTGTGAGTTTACTGCAGCTTAAACGAATTCGTGATATAGCAGCAATTAAAAGAAAAAGTGGCTTACGTCAAATGACAATTAACAAATATTTTAAACCAAATTAAACTTATATATTTCCTGATTACCAAAGGCAAATTACCAAATACATATTGTTAAGAAATTATACGTACATAATATGTACCTAAATATTTAATTTCATGATTAAGGTAAAATTATTTTAGTACATGTACAATGTATGTAGGATTTATCTCTTAATAAACATTGATTTTCGTATTTAATTGTTATTTTTAATTGACACATAACATTATGTAAGTACTACATATTATTATGCATAAAACTCGCTATTTTTCATACATTCGATTATCCGGATTTTCGATTATCCGAATGCCTAACGACAACAATTAGTCCGGTTAATCGAGTTTCTACTGTATTTAAATATTTAAAAAATTGGAAACTAAATCATTTATTTTGAAATATTATACACTAATTTCTAACTCGAAAGGAAACATTTAGTTTAATGGTGCCCATGCCCGTGATCGTGATCGTGACCACCGTCTTTGTGCATACTTTCCTCTACTTCTAAAAGATCGGATATTTTATAACCGACGGTTTCTAACGCTTCTATTAAATCGCGTTTAGCTTTTAGATCTTTTTCTCTTGCTTTCCTAGCCAATCGTTCAGGTCTTGTAGCTTCTAAATGAGCTCGTCTTCGCTTCTCAATTTGAGAAAACAGTAGTTTCTTGCTTATACCATAGAAAATACCACCAATTAGTAAACTCCATCTACATAACTACAATAATTTAACTATAATTACTTTAACTTTAGATAAACAATTATTTATATATAACAATACTTTTATGAACGGGTGGATTGATATAGGATCTGGAAATATATCCGACATAATTGTTAATACACAAAAAACAACTCTATTTAAATGTCACTAAAGACTAAGACGTTTAAAATAACAGACGTACGACGATACAAAATTCAGTTGTTTATATTAATTGCCAACTGCAATTTATGAACTCTAACTTGCAAAAACAATAAACTGCAAGAAATATTTATGTTACTGCTTTCATACTTTACAGTGGTAATTGTAAAACAGTGGCTGCAGGGTATTTTATTTTTATATTCACCCGTTTACTTTCAAAAGAGAAAGTTACTTAGTTATAATTTGATAACGAATGAAATTGTTTACAGTCAAATACTGAATTTGAGAAGTGTGTCAGTTTTATTAATTATTATTACGTAATAGTTTATATTTTGACAAGGTTACATTGTGATGATACCTACTTTTATCTTTGAATGGTATTAATGCCTAAAAATCTACGCCTTTCATTGGCTATATGTATATGTTAAAAAAATCTGAATGATACAATCGAACAGATAATATTACAAAATTTATTATTTTGTGCTTTGGGTTACTCATTGCTTAGATTTGATAAACAAATAAAATTACTTATTCCGCCTCTGTACAGGGGGCAGTAACCTTTACTACACCAAAACATGTTTCCACTATACTCCTCGCAATCCTTGATTGTACCTGTGGTGTTATTAGCCTTTGTAAGTACTGGCAAAACATGACTGTCATATTTTTTTATTTTAACCATTTTTATTGTTTGCCTGAAAACATTTCAAGTACTAAATTTATTAATTTTCTGGTTTGTTTATATATTATTTACCATAATTGAAAGTGAGTTTTGATTTTTAATGTAATTTCGTTGTCGAAAATTACTCGTTAATTAACAATTAGCAACTAAAATTAATACATTATTCAAACAACATTTGCTTACATTCGTCTACTAAGTTTTAAAACCTTTAAATTACGAATTCTCCTGTAACTGCTACAGTAATGTCGTGAAAGTCGACAGTTTCGCTTTGTTAAGATTTTATGTAACACGTGCGACAAGATATTTTGAAAAATTCTAATTAGGCCAATGCTTCTAATCGATCAAATGATGACACAATACATAACGTAATCCTTTTGGTGTCTTTATTTTTATATATACAGCGAGGTACACATGTTGTTCTAGAACCCCTGTATATGCTGGCTTGTCTTAGAATTACTAACGTTTTAGTACTAAAACAGCACAAAAATGTAACTTGTGTATCTTTTGCCTTAGACCATCATTCCTTAAAACTGGTTGGACACGCACCTCCACTCTTTCTGATACTGAATTAATCTTTTGATTTCCCTAAAACTAGAACATCCCACATCCTTAACTGTCTGTGAACAGTAATCTAATCTACTCCTCTTAACTCCTGTTTCTGCTTCTAATAAGCCTCTGAGCCCTTCAGGCCTGAGAAGGTATTCTACCAATCTATCTCGCCTGTTTACTATTGACTTTCATAAAGTCCTCTGTTCTCCTATTCTTTCTAATACCTCTTCATTTCTAACCTTCTTTATACAAGTAACAGGTACAATTTAGAAAATACTACAAATGGCACAGTGAACGCCATCTGTAGCACGATGCTACATTTTAGGATTACGTATGCTCCAACAAGGTCCACTTGTGTGAATATCTACTTGCTGAAAACGAATCCCGGCGTAGCCAACCTCAACGTGATAGGCACGTTAGCTTAATCGAATAAAATAATTCGAAGTGGTCTGTATTCTGTCGAAACTGCCAGACGCGTATCGCGATTTCGATCTTTTTGGATCTCATCAGCGCGTCGCAGGCAGCTCCGACAGAACACAAGACCAACTTTTACCTGCTGTCTTAACAGTGCGTTTCAGAAAATACTACAAATGGCACAGTGAACGCCATCTGTAGCACAGCAGGTAAAAGTTGGTCTTGTGTTTTGTCGGAGCTGCCTGCGATGCGCTGATGAGATCCAAAAAGATCGAAATCGCGATCCGCGTCTGGCAGTTTCGACAGAATACAGACCACTTCGAATTATTTTATAGGTACAATTTATTTTATTAAAATTACCAAACTGAATCCTAATAAAAAAATCGAAGAAACTTTGTAAGATATAATATTTAGTGGAATAAGACGACGATGTTTTGTCCTGTAATTGAAAAGAAAATCTCATGTAATACAACTCACATCGAAACAATAGTAGAAAACGTGATACAATAAAACTTTCGCTCCTTATTGAGTTCAAAGTTAAGTCGGCATTAGGCCTGTACAGCAGCATTAGTTGAGAAATGATTCACACTGCTCACAATTGTATTATTAAGAGTGTGAAGAGGCCTAAATCATAATCGAACATCTAAATAGGAGTAATCTTTAAGCATACAAAGGTCAAATGGTAAAGCCTAACGGATTTCTGTGCTACTTTAAGTCAAGAACAATAACAGACATGAACCGTTTCTTAGTCGTTAATCATCACAATTATTTTGACGCACTTGGACGTAAAATAAGAAATAAAAAAATAGCGACTACCTACCATAAAAGTTAACTGTACAAACTCCGAAAGCGGCTAAAGTGTAATTACTTTTTAAATATACTTTACTAAGTACTAAATGTTAGTAAAACAGTTTATTAAAAAGTACCCTCACGCAGTCAAAAATGCGTTATTATATTCGAAGGCACTAATAACGGATTAAACAACAAGTCATTTGGGTAAAACTGACCCAAAATATATAAAAAGGTGTAACATAACTCCTTACACCCTAATTGTTTAAAATTATGCCCCAAACCTGCTCAGGGGCCAGCTAATGTCATTATTTCGTTGGAGACTCCAACAGTGGGTCAAGCGACGAACCTCAACAAATTTTATATAATATAGCACGACATCATTTTTTCAACTAGAAACTAATAGTCATTAATCATCACAACTGTTTTGACGCACTTATACGTTCAATAATAAATAAAAAATAACGACTACCTACTGTAAAAATTAACTGTAAAAACTCTGAAAACAATTACAATTTAATATCCCTGAGTAAGTACTAAACGTTGGAACTATTTTTAAATAATTATAAAATTCTTTTAAAAGTATTTAAAATCCTACATTAACAATCTCGCAGAAAATTGTCCCTGAAATATACCAAAAAAGTGTTATTATATTCGATGGTACCAATAGTGATTTAAACACCACGCCAATTGGACAAAACTAGCCTAAAATACACAAAAAGGTGTAACATAACTCCTTACACCCTATTTGTTCGAAATTATGCCCCAAAACTGCTCTGGGGCCAGCGAAAGTCGTTATTTCATTGGAGACTCCAACAGTGCGTCAAGCGACGAACCTCAACAAACTTTATATAATGTAGCACCACATCATTATTTCAACATTTTAGTTGAAAATCAATATGTTTTGAGTATTATATCACGTTATACGATACTTGTTAAAGGTTTTAAAAGCATTGCTAAATTTTTGGTACTTATGCCTATTATTAATTAATTCGGTAATATAATTCATTACCAAATCCGAGAAACACAAAATGTTATTAGTTCATATGTTGAATAAACTCGTCCCTTTGACATAAACACTCATTTTTACATACATACATTATAGTTAAGATAAAAATATAAACATTAAACATAAAAATGAATGTTTGTTTATTTCTTTCAGTCTTTATACCTGAAGCATTCGTCTGATGGCGATTAAACTTTTGTGAGTTGGTGTTCACATCCTTAGGAAGGTTTTTGAATTAAAAAGAATCGTAAAAACAAATAAACATCCATTGCGACCGAAAATTACTGAGTAAAAATAGATACTCACCTCCTAACTCCTATCGGTTGCCCTTGCTGCGTCTCTGCAGTAGGAGCACTTTCAATGCTGGACGCGAGACTCGATTCGCTAGATGACAAACTTCTCAACCTCCTCGATCTCGAAGAAGCCGAACTACTTCTTGCACGATTCCGGTAAACAGTTTCGGGCACATTCGATCGACTGCGTGAATCACGCGATCGCGAACGCGTTTCACGCACTGAAGACTGCGTGGCAACGCTCGAATGCGTGCCTAAACGCGATGGTGCACTAACCGGTCTAGTACTGTGAGTATTTTCGATTGACCCCTGTAAGTTTTGTAAATTGTTCAGTTGGAATTGTTCCGTTTCCGCCGGTGGTGCTGACGCAACTTCCGGCGTCTCTAAAAATATAGTAAACACAAATTTTTAGTGCATGAGAACTGACAGAAATAGAAACAATTAGCGCTTTGTTTTTAATTTCAACTGATATGTATATGTTTGTTGATACTAATGGTACGATAAAATTAATAGTTATATAATGAGTACATTATCTTTTTGAAATAGAAAGTGTATTTTTTGTTAACATTATACGTATACAAGCTTCTGGTAGAGGCCCCAATCTAATTTGATAACATGCGATATGATTTTAACTACTGAATGATAAGTAATTATGATGTTTTTATGATAAATCTCCGGAAAGCCTTGTCCTTTGAAATGACTTATTATCTAATTTTATATCCAAACACTTCGTCATCATTGATGGATGGAGATTACAGTTATTTCAAAGTAATCAAGAAAAGTAAAAACTATAATTTTATGTCATCTTAGCGTTAAGTACTTGTAAGATAAAAACGACAACTCGTCAATCAATTGTGTGTAACTGAAGAGGATTCCAAATCAGAATCATAAAATTTACCTGGAATGTCGATCCTTGTTAAATCACTGGGCAGCCTCAAATGTTGTATCCTCCTCATGGATGACCTTTGCCATCCACTTTCTTGTCGCTGTCGTGCTTCTTCGTTACAATTTTCTTCGGTCACCACTTCCCTATCGTCTTCGTTCCTTTCGCGGTCATTGGAAGAAGGTTCTGGTGCAGCTTCTCTTTGAACCGGTTCGACAATTACACTACCGGTGCCATAATCTCCGGTCGCATGGGCCCTACGCTCGATTTCAACATCGTGAACCCAGCTCCAATCTATTTCCTCGTCCGATTCCACACCTGGAACGGATATCCGTTCACATGGTGCAAGGAGTTCCCCGCTTGCGTTGTGAATTATCGGTTTCACATCGTTCGTCGAGCCCATCGTGGCCCTCCACCGATTGTTACGTTTGAAATTACCGCCGCGATCACCCCCGGAATTTGACACCGCACGCTTCAAATTAACACCGTTATCGCCCTCAACTGTTCGTTTACACTCTGACACTGATTGAGGAACAATTTCACTTTTTAATATTGGGGAATCACCACCGGTGCAATAGTTTCTCAAACGGGGCTCTTCCTCATGGGGTTCCGCTTCTAAGTCTCCATTGCAGCTTTCTCCCGTTGCCATGGTCTCAGTTTCTTCACTGTTCGACTCTGTCTTTAACGACAAAGTTTCGACATCTTCGTAGCTTAAACTAAGACTTACATCGTCAGCAGTTCTGCTTCTTCTCTCGTCCTCTAGCTCTGTTTCGTTGTCGTTGCAAGTCCTAACTTCATCTGTACTATAAGTTCCTAACGTAGCATCCAATTCTGTTAGGGGGTTCGAAATGGATTTGATGTTATTACTATTACTACTGGTACTACTGCTCCTGCTACGTCGTTTTTCTAACACTTCGTTTTGTTGATTGGAAATGAGATTTTGTTGGATTGAAGAAGATGCTTCTGGGTGTTCAATTTCACAATTTCCCTCTGTTTCAATAACGTCGGGATCGTCATGCTGTTGTAGAAGTTCTTCGCTTGATCTTAACGATTCGTTTAATATTTCGTCCAATTTTGAGAGAATATTCAAGGCCTCGCAACTGACCGGTGATATCGGCGACGTTTCTTCATCTGTTGCTGTTAAAATTTCCATAAGAATATCTCCCCTGTCCTTTTCCAACCCTTGCTTATCCTTACTGGCGGCACAAGAACTGTTGTCGGATCCTTCCAATGAAATTAAAATATCTTCGACGTTAACAATTTCTCCTGTGGGACTACCTGAAGGTGGTTCTAATGTTTTCTGTAGTTTATGCTCTAACACCGGAAGGTCCGTGTCCATCAGATTGTCGGAGTCTTGACTGCTAACTGCGTAGAATTTTGTACATCTAGGAAACTGAGGAGATGTCACGTTGAGGTCTATAAGGTTATCTTCCATTTCAAAACTTTCTTTGTCCGACGATGCCATCCTGTTTGGTGTGCTTTAACAAAAACGATAATCAGTTACTTATTAAATATTCATTCGGTACATTTGATTTTTGAAGGATTTTACTCTATCAGAATTTGTAATTATGTAACGATTACGTATTAAAAAGACAATAGTTACTTATTATATTATACTGTATAAATTAAAGAGACATTTTAGACATACAGGGTGAATCTTTAAAGCTTCTCCTAATGATAATATAAATAATGAAGTCGATTACAGAAAATCACTCTTGCAATTTCCCTGAACTAATTTAAAGAAAGGAAGGAAAAGGAGAGTTATAAAAATCGGTTTGAAGGTGCATGTCACAATAAAGTCTCAATTTCATTATGTTACTAACTACGCACACGCGTGGGTTGTTTTACGTATACATGCATGCGTATCGTATGGACGTTTGGTACCCGTGCAAGGCCCAATATTACAGTCAAGGTATCGCTTCAATAAAAGCCAATACCTGTTCACCTTTTCATTAATGCGGAATCGATAAACTGTCCTTTGACATCGTCTACGAACTATTATTGCTCACTTTGGTCAACAAATTTAAAGACCTTCGTGTGAAAAGGGCTTGCCTTTGAATTAAAGTTATTTTGGACAGGCAAATAGGGCATTAATATTAAAAACACCACTAGAACTTCGATAATTCAAAGCCCCTATAATTATTATTAATCTGACTATTGACAATTCATTAGGTAATCTCACTAACGTATGTACAATTATGAGCTTTTAAAACTATTCCAAACCCAGTATAAGTAAAGCTTTTACAGAAACTAAAGTCTCTCAGAATAATTAGAATTAATTTTTTTTACTTCCAATTAGATATTAATAAACGACTAGGTACTAAACCATCGATGCACTTTTGTTAATTCATCAACCCTTAATTACTTGTTTCCATTTTTTCCAATGCAACACCGTAACTTATTCCAATCGAGTTCAATTCGTTCATAGCTTATTTTGTTCGATTCATAAGTTTCAATCTTTACTTCGTTGCTGATATTAAACAATTACTACAACAATTTCTACTTATTGTATTTAAATGATCCACAATTAATTAATCATAATAGCAGTACAATTAAGATATATTATTATAATTTTCGAATTTCTATTTTCTCTTCAATTATCATGCCACTTTTGTTGACCTTCACGAAACTTCATGGTGAAAAACATTCTAATGTCACAAGTATTTTAATAATTTACTTCCGTTATGTTTGAAAGTTTTTTTACATTTGGTTTTAGATGTATGCAAACTATATCCTTAGATAAAGGTTTTCGGCCTTTCTCTTTGAAAAGCAAGGGTAATCTATCGAAGCATAATAGCCTGTAGAGGTACTTTATGGTGTGATATGTAAAATCCTTGAATTAAGTTACTGTAAATATACAATATGGAGTTAAATTATCAACAAACAATTCCTCATTATACATTTCTTTGGTTCTGTGATAAGAAATACCGTTTTCTCTTTTACAGTTAGTTGTAAGTTGTAAACTTTTGTTTATTATATAACATAGCTTAATTAATATGCAGTCCAAGCAATTCATTTAATTTGCATTTTTAATTATACTTGAATGATAACACTATTCTTGCACAATATTAATTGTTTACATTACAAATAGCGTTCTTAAATATCATCAGTACCATTTATTTATTTATTTGGAGGGTTAAGTAAAATTAAAACAGTTGGTTAATATTTCAATAAAAGCGTTCCAAAATTGGGGTCAAACTATGTTTAATTGCCAAATAACTGCACGGCTACCCAATTACATAACGTTCTACCATTTGTGAAAGAAATACCGGTTATTATTTTAATGATGACGACAACTGCAGGAACATAAATGCTGACGATTTATATATTGTCAACAAATAAGCAATAATTTTCAAAACATAAGCCAGCTGATCTTGCAAATGAACCACAGAAAATATGTGTGTCACTAGGTGATACCTGTGACTGAACTAAATGTATATTTTTTACGCTTTTAACAATACAATTTTAATAAAAAAACAGTTATTCAAACGCGAGTGTTATCTAGGATTCAATAAAGAGAAGAATTGAATACATTTTTTGATTTAAATCTATTAGATACTTCAGATACAAGTGCACGTGAGTGATTTTATCTCTTTAATGAATTCATGTCTTAAACATGTACTTGTACACACATTCACTTGATATAATAAAATGTAAAGTAATAAAAGAAGCTAAGTTGGGCGTCACACTGTGTTGATTTTATTAAAATGCTAATTTACGATTTTATACTAATTAATTCTACCAACTAACGACGAAGTTTTAAATTTTTTATTTGTTATTGATCAAAATGCTTTCTTTAATTCATTCTTTATTTTCAATTTATATTCTGCCCATCAAGCAACGAAATTGATAGCTATAAGTGAAGTAGAATCGATATTGGGCCAGCACAAACTACATTAACTTTTATCTATTGAGGCCAAGCCACTAGTTGAGCAACGAACTTTCCAATCTTCGAGAAATTTCAGAATGAATGTTTACCACGAAAAACCAATCAAAAAAAACTCGCTAATAATCCTTCTTGTTTTCTCTTTTTCAATCCAATCTATATATATAATATTTTTCTCACTCATATAATCGATTAAAATCAAAATTGAAATTAAAAAAGTAATCTTGTTGGTACGCCTTTTTGTTTTATCATCAAAGTTGAATAAGTTTAATGTTAAAACATGTAGATTATGTAAATAAATCAGTAAATAATCATTGCTATTGTAAAGAATACTTTAACTGACCCTACCTTTTAGTAATTTATCATTTGCAAAATTCCTACGCATGTTTTGCATCATGCTGGCAACGAGATGTCCAAATCATGGTCAAATATACTATCGCTCTGGTCAAAATCGACCTAACGCGTTACAAGGTCAAATCAGCATGTATTTAAATCAGATCAAGGTTTATCTAGGTCAATATTATTGAATATAAGTCACATATAATGTATTTCTACCTGGAATTACATTATAAAAATTACCTCTAGTTGCAAAACTGATGACACGTTTGTAAATTAAATCAAAATTACTTCAATAAAGTTATTGTATTGTTAATGGTTCTTTATAATAGAATCTATTTAAAAATTCATAATTAATAAGTACTTATTTCAAATCCCATAAAGGTAAATTTGTTGAGATTAACCCTTAATTAAGTCATGTAATTGTTTGGGTATTCATTAAGTAGCCTTGTAATATTGACCTCACCATAGCAAAGGCGATCTAGAGGCTGATGCATCTATAAAATCGATTCAGCAATTATCTCTAAGTACTTCCACGGAAGAACTTAAGGACTTTCTATGAGATATTCCAGGTTGGGGTCATAGTTTGTAGAAGGTCACGACAAGGATATCCATATGACATAAATAAATTAATATAATAAATAAATTACACTTCCTAATGTAATAAGTTTGCTCAATTAGGTAACTTATAACAAGTGGAGAATTCTTCTTGTTAATGTTCTTGATGTAGGTCATCATATGTTTCAATAGATAGATAATTAATATTAAACTTGACTTTAAAAATCGACTCTCAATTCATTGGGTAATACAAGATATTAATATAACGCTACCTATGCATAATAGATTTTATAATTGAAACATATGTATATTATTATTTATTGTAACAACTCCTATTGTATCAGAGAAAAACGCAAATGTATAACATCAACAATATCTAAAGTGATAATTATGTTTCACATGTGACACAAAAAATTAATATTGACAATTATTATTAATCTTGAGATCAAAGTATCAATGAAGGTATTTTACACTATTAACTACGAGGGTGGATTGATAAGTTTCCGGCCTGACCAAGAAAAACAAGGTTTTTAAAAATTTTTTTTTTTTATTTCTCAACATAATCTCCTCCAAGGCTGATACATTTCTCATAGCGGTGTTCCAGTCTATTAATGCCATCTCTATAGACTGATTCGTCAAGCTCCTCAAAATAACCATTTACAGCTTCGATTACTTCTTCATTGTCCGCAAATCTCTTACCGCCAAGCCATTTTTTGAGATTAGGGAACAGAAAATAGTCACTCGGGGCTAGGTCTGGAGAGTAAGGAGGGTGCGGCATCAATTCAAACTTTAGATCGTTGATTTTAGCCGTCGCAACGATTGACGTGTGCGCTGGTGCGTTATCGTGATGAAACAAGATTTTTTTCTTCGCCAGATGAGGTCGTTTAATTTTCACCTCGTGGCTCAAACGTTGCAATAAGTCTGCGTAGTATTGACCAGTGATAGTATTACCCTTTGCAAGGTAATCAATGTATATAATACCTCTTGCATCCCAAAAAACAGTAGCCATAACCTTGTTCGCCGAAAAAATTGTTTTTGCCTTCTTTGGAGTTGGTTCCCCTGGTCCAATCCACTGTTTAGACTGTTCTTTGGTTTCAGGAGTGTAGTGGTGGACCCACGTTTCGTCAACGGTTACGAATCGACGCAAAAATTCGCTTGGATTACGCTTATACAATGACAAATTTGCGGTAGAAATGTTTTTTCGAATCAATTTTTGGTCGACTGTTAGCAAACGCGGCACCCATCTTGCACAGAGCTTTTCCATATGCAAATGTTGGTGCAAAATATGTTGCACACGTTCATATGACATCTTACAGGTCTCAGCTATCTCACGCACTTTCAATCTGCGGTCTCCCAGCACTATTTGATGAATTTTTTCGATCATATCTGGAGTTGTGACCTCAACGGGGCGTCCTGAGCGAGGCCCATCAGAGGTGCTCACACGACCCTTTTTAAACTCGGAAACCCACTGCTTAACGGTTGAATATGACGGGGAGGATGTCCCCAGTGTTGAGTCCATCTCTTTTTTAATTTCCTTCGGCGTTAACCCCTTCAAATAAAAGTATTTGATGACAGCACGATTTTCCTGCTTTTCCATTTTTACGAAAACCACAGAGGCGTCTTGTTCAGCGTGCTGTCAAACCTACACTAGCAAGGAGATCGGGCTGAAACTATAGCTACAAGCTATCCAAGGATGGTACTATAGAATGTCACCTCAAGGTAGGCCTAGTGGCGTCATCTCTTGGTTAGGCCGGAAACTTATCAATCCACCCTCGTATTTCTAACAGTAGACTCGCATCAAGGTCTTTAATATCAGAAGACCCAAAGCGGTATTTCAGTTTAATTAATATACTGTTTTTACCCATTTTCTTATGTTAATGCAGTCATAAATAATAAAATTGTTCTCCTGAATTTCAATAAGTATGAGTACATACTTCTACTGCAAATAAATAATTAATTAAACTCCTTATCTATGTACTATGGACTAGCTCCATGTCTTTGCTAAAAGTATTTCGTATATTTCCTATGTATTTACCGTTAATTCTTTTTGAATATGAATAATTTACAAGTGAAGGTACTCCAGTTTTTAAACAATACACAATTAGTTGGTCTTTTCTAAAAAATTTCGTAACTGTATTAATAGCTTCCGTTTTACAACTCTGTCATATTTAGGTCGACCAAAAATAGGTGTAAAATCCATACATTAACTATAATAAATTGAAAAAGAAAACAAAGGAGTTAAACAAATGGAAATAAATTTTCTTAACTTAAACAGTAAAATTGCTTCATAACATTTAAGATAATGATCAGTGTTTTAAAAGAGAATGAATTTGAACGAATAATTGGATAAACGTATGTAGTTAAGTTATAGATACCTATGTCTTATTATAGTCTCCCATTTCTTTTTGATTTATATCAAAACAAAAGACTACTCATATCTCACAAAATGGCGGCAGCTAACCGCCATATTGCTAATTTCTAGGTAATACCTATTCCATGTCTAACCGAATATAACTAACTATTATTTTACATGTGTTAACGTAGTTAATAGCTGAGGATTATGCTAGTCATTGATATAAAGTAAAGCAAGTAACAGTAAAATGAAAAGCAAGAAAAGCCCGTAGGTAACTCCAAGTCTTTTGATTACTTTAAGCTTCTAATTTGTTCTTAAAGTCGTCCAGTCCCTCTCGCTAATAATTTACAGTTTAAATGATTACATTATTAATAAGGTAACTGTATGAAAAACATCATCCTATGTAGCTATTACAGTTACGACTTCCTGCGGCGAAATAAAATTACAAGCTGTTAGTCATACTCTGTATATCCGTCTTTTTTTATTTTTTTGAGGATCTATAGAAACGAGTACAAGTATACAAAAATAAAATAGTAACGCCCTTTTGAAATCAATTACTTCATGATGATACGTACGCTCTTTTTCATTGTATAATCCTTTTACAGTTACGTAAGTAGCAATTATAAAAAGGAAAGACGTTGAAGACATTAGTAGTGAACTGTTACCATTGTCTTCATAGAGAATGTTAGTCCAAATTAATCTTGAAACTTAATCACAATAGGTACTACATAATTAAATTTCTTCTTGCAATAAATTACTAATTAGTTTGAAAGATTGAACATCATCAATAATTATGAGAAAAAATGTACCTACATGATTGCGTTATTATTTCACGAATGTACAAAATGTCTAAGGTATTTTTGTAAATATGAAAATAACTAAGTACATGTTTTATTACTTTTTGTTTCTAGATCGGTATGTGTTGCTGTATTGTATTTTCTAAACCTACATAAAATAGTTGCTTAACTGATTGAATTTTTATGGTTTAAAAAAATCAAAATGTGACTCAGATTTGCTCGCGGTCTCATGATAGTGCCCTAAAATAACTGGTAATAAATAGCTATAAAGTTTACTATTTTCTGCCAATAAAAAATCGAAAACAATGGTCTACTGAGATAGGCTAAACAATACTCTTTAAAAAAAAAATTGTTATGAAATTGAACAGCTAGTTTAATTCGTAATAACACACAAATTACAAACTAAATCTTAATTAGTGAAACAAATGTAACGACTAAACCGTGCCAAGCAATTATTCAATTAATTTTTGACTAGTATTACCCATTAATAACATAATAGGTAAGCTTTTGAGACAACACTGAAAAATATGTATATATATATAAAAATTGATTATGAATTATAATTCATTTGCGAACTGTGCTTTAAGATTATATTAATAATATCAATTTTTAATTCAACTTTCGTTTTCGATCATTGTAAAAAGACCCATTAATAACATAATAGGTAAGCTTTTGAGACAACACTGAAAAATATGTATATATATATATATAAAAATTGATTATGAATTATAATTCATTTGCGAACTGTGCTTTAAGATTATATTAATAATATCAATTTTTAATTCAACTTTCGTTTTCGATGATTGTAAAAAGACTGTCGTACTTACCAATCACTTTTTTTTAGAATATGTTTTGGTCCCCAACGTAAAACAAATCACAAAAAGGTCACGCAAGTCAAAAAATTTGTTAGCAATCTTAAATTAAAAATTCGCGGCATCCTTATTAATTCGCTACTTTCCGTTATCACCACCGTCCGCTGACTAAAGCTTTTCGCTAGTTGAACTGGAAACTCCGGTGAAATGGAAGGCATTCTATAATCAACGTCGGGCTTTAGTTGTCTCCAAGTTTTCACAGGCGCAGATACAATACAAACACTGGACACGCGGCTTCTTCATTACAAAGGGGTAGAAAAAACAACCCTCAATTACTTTGTCAGTATTTTTACGGAAAAAAAATGATTACACAAGCAAAGTTTTTGAAATTCATATCATCTTCACAATATAATTTATTGTTAGTAATAAGGGGACAACTCTTTAATTGTGTGAGGTGTTTTTCTTTTCATTTGGACCCCCATCTCGCCCTTGACATGAGATTAACCAGAACACACCAGCAAAAAGTAAAAAATTAAGTAATCTGTTTATTATTTGTATATAATAATATGTGTTCTTTAAATTAAAAAGTTTACCCTAATTTTCATTGACCCCTCGCTCCCTTTTTGAATAAGATTTCATGAAATTCCTTCCCATTTTGAATTCGTGTAAGTAACGGGGAATATTTCTTGTCACAAACCTGAAATTTTACCCAGTTCTACCCACTTTTAATATCAACTTCCTTTTTGGGACATTTAGAAGTAAAAAAATTACCTAATGGGTACCAATGAGATTTCTTGGTTGAACTCCATCCCTTCTGGGGAATATTTCTTGTCACAAACCTGAAATTTTACCCAGTTCTACCCACTTTTAATATCAACTTCCTTTTTGGGACATTTAGAAGTAAAAAATTACCTAATGGGTACCAATGAGATTTCTTGGTTGAACTCCATCCCTTCTGGGGAATATTTCTTGTCACAAACCTGAAATTTTACCCAGTTCTACCCACTTTTAATATCAACTTCCTTTTTGGGACATTTAGAAGTAAAAAAATTACCTAATGGGTACCAATGAGATTTCTTGGTTGTACTCCATCCCTTCCGGTAAAAATGCTAACTTTCAAAGGGTCTAAAGTTTCTAACTCGTACAATTAATGAAACCGTTAGAATTTTTATAAGTAACACTGCTTTTTTTCATCAAAGGTGTTTTAAAAATTGTTATCAATAGATTAAGAAACTTACCGGTCACCCCGTTTATCATCCACGGATTATATTCAAACCATAATATCCTTCAGGCAAAATTCCTTTCACAAAAGCAATATTTCACTTTCCACAACCCTTGCAAAACAGGAGCTAATTAACTTTGAATTTTCACACCATAAAATACAGAAAACGCACAAAATTATGTACCCAACCGGAGACAATACAGTTACAGTTACTGCATAATTTTATATACGAAATACATAAGTACATGTATTACAGTAGTATTTATTACCATTCTATTGAAAGTCAGTAGTAATTGTAAGAAACACGAAGGTGTATTTGTATGTAAGTGATCGCGTACCAGAATCGTACCTGGTCGAGGTACTGGACTGGATGGACACACCTGAGATCATCTAGCAGTATGTAGTAGGAGTCAGCCACAACCAGTTCTTCGGCTCAGAAGATGTCCCTGAACTTCGAGAAGCCCGTGGGCCAGAGGAAGAGCATTTAAGACTTAAAACCATCCAGAGCAATGCATTAAATTTTATAAAGAATACAGTACAACACTCAACACTTACATAAGCAAAAGTCAAATGTGTTTTTGATGTTCAAAGAATTTCCATGAATTGATATTCCATACATTTATAGTCAGATTAGTTTTTCTAGACTGATACACTCGAATATTCTTTGAGACACATGTAGGTACTTCCCCAATTTTAAATATTTCTTTTGCTCAANCCAAAATTAATAAAAAATTAAAATTAATACACTCCATTTGCCAAAGACACTTACAATTTCTCAATCATAATAGATGAGGCTCCACCTCCTCCGTTACAGATTGAGGCAACGCCCTTTTGGCCTGCTTTCAAAGCATGTACCAAATGAACGACGATTCGAGCTCCAGACATTCCTATGGGGTGTCCTAGGCTAACGGCGCCCCCATGAACGTTAACTTTATTTGGGTCGATATCTAGCAACTTCTGATTTGCTAGGACAACGGCACTAAAAGCTTCGTTGACCTCCCACAGGGCAACATCGTCTTTTTTGATACCAGTCTTCTGTAAAAGTGGAGGAATTGAAGACGCAGGGGCAATAGGGAAGTCTATGGGATCGACTGCAGCGTCCTGAAAGCCCACTATTCTTGCCAAAGGTTTCAAGTTCAGTCTTTTTGCTCCGTCAGGGGTTGTAAGGATTAAAGCAGCCGCACCGTCGTTTAAAGTGGAGGAGTTTCCTGCAGTAACAGTCCCGTTTTCTCTCTGGAACACCGTTGCTAATTTGGGAAATTTGGAAAAGTCCACGCGTTTATATTCCTCATCTTTTTCAAAAATCTTGTCTGGTTGACCTTTCTTTTGGGGAACAGGAACAGGAACGATCTCGGCAGCGAAAGCGTTTGAATCCCAAGCAGCTGCACTACGTTTGTAACTTGAAATTGCATACTCATCTTGTTCCTGTCTCGTTAATTGAAGCTTTTTGGCGGTATTTTCGGCACAATTCCCCATGTGAATGTTGTTGTATACGTCGTGGAGCCCATCAAAGACTATTCCATCTAATAAATGAACCCCCCCATACGGTGTCACTCCCCTATGCAGAAAATAAGGAAACATTATAGTACTGAAGCTTTAAAATATTATTTAATTTATCCCATTTAATAGATTACAATGGTAATGAGATACAATTTAAGGGACAACAAAGCAAAAAACAAAAAAGTTTGTATTTTGTTTTAATCATATTAGATTTGTTAACATATAACAACCATTGTTTTATTTAATGGAAAGTGAAGATAATACTGATATTATTATCATCTCACCTTCTCATATAGTATGGCACATTTGACATTGATTCCATTCCTCCAGCTAGAACAACCTCTTGATGGCCAGTTTGTAAATTTTGAGTAGCCAATATCACAGACTTCAAACCAGATGCGCAGACTTTGTTCACTGTTGTGCAAATTGTTGACTTGGGCAACCCCGCAAATATTGTTGCCTGCCTTGCTGGGGCCTGTCCTGCTCCCCCTTGGCAAACATGCCCCATGTAGACTTCTTTAACTTCTTCTTTTGGGACCCCTGCCCTTTCAATAGCTGCTTGTATGGCAACTGCCCCTAATTTAGTAGCTGGCAAAGAGGAAAGGGATCCAAGAAAAGAACCTATGGGGGTCCTTACAGCAGACACAATAACTACATCGTTCAACTTCACCTGAGTACTATACTTTCTTGAATTTTTTAGAGCCTAAAATTTAAGTTTTACTGAAAATATTTGTCTTCTTTGGACATCTAATTCTTACCTGAGAAATCCTTAGTATAAAAACCATATTTCTTAATCTGATTTAATCTTAAAATAAACTCCTGGTGTACATTTGCTTGGAGATATTCTAATTATATGGAAACAATAACACCAACTGAACTTTGAACTTTTTATATTTATCTGTTTATTCTTATTCCTATCGCAGTTTAGAATTACTTAATAAACAAAGTTTTGAATTATTATTAAACAAAATTGCAAAATTAATTCAAAAACAACAATTAAATTAAGAAGGTTATAAGTATTGTTGTTTCGAAAAGAAAAACAGTTGATGTTTCTAATGTTCCGCTAGAAGTAAAGATTGATTATCATTTATGTTAATAACGAAATTGCGCTTCCTATAACTTTCTTTAAATCAAAATTGAACATAAAACTTTAAAAAATAACTATAATGAAAGTTAATTGACGTCTCTTTTATGGTAATAAATTTAAATACAATGTTATTTAAGCGTGAACCCTTTGTCAGAAGTTATTAGAGAATAGTAAAAGTAGAACTCATTGGTTTACTTATTTATTGTAGGGAATTAGTACATTAATGTAATTAATTAATACATTTTTCTAAGGCATACTCAACTATGTGGTTAAAATTTCAACATAATCGGTTAAATAGTTGCAAAATCATTAGTTTTGTTAAATTCCATTCAAAAACTGGCACCAAATAATTTTTATGAATGGAAATTCAATTTTTAATGATGGCCGACGCTGAATAGCCAATCAGATGCGAGCGTCTATTGTTACCCACCGTTCGTAGTAAAAAAGCACATGTTACTGCAACAATTAAAAATGTAGGTCATCAGTAACCCTCCAACTGTCAGCAGGAATGTACTGTCTTTTCTTCTTAAAACTTAACGAAATTACAAATTCATATAATTATTTCTATAATTAATTCAAAAATGATGATACATTATGCATTTATAGAATAAATAATACGTTTAAAGTTAATACTGCAATTTTTTAAACTTAAGAAGGGAATAAGTATCTCTACCAAAAAAAATCTTAACCCAAATTAACATGGGGATTTCTTTATTTGTGTTTTCTATTTAAATAACTTATCTAAGTCAGCTTTTTAATTGTTTTTTCTCTTTCATGTTCCTTAATTTTTTGAATCAAAAGCACTTCATCAAGTTTATGCTTACAAAGATACTGTCCATTAAAAAATAATACAGGAATTTCGTATCTGTACAGTCTCAGCCATCTCACATTCTCTTTTTTATCAATATACACCACCTCTAGTCTACATTTATTTAAATAGGGTAGCAACTGTAATTTCACTTCATCACACAGGGGGCAAGGGTCTTTAGTATACAACGTTATAACTGGTAGACCATCTTCAGGTTGTACAGCAGATCTACCAACAAAAAAAGACACTAATTCCAAAATTCTAATTAAANAATAATTTAATCGAAGAAAATTTGCAATTGAAAGAGGAATTAAAGCAAAAGTAAAAGAAATTATTGCTAGGCCAATATTATATTAATTTCTTCCTTTATTGTAGGAATGAAGAACTCGAAAAAGCTTATTGCATTATTGAACTCATGCGTTTGAGTTCCTTGGAATTACCCTATAATGTTTAATGATCTTTTATATTTTTCATTCATAACTTAAATTAGTTAAAGTATTTTCCCGTTTCGTATACCTTCGACATTTCCATATTTTGTGTCATCTGTCATTCACTGAATAAGGAATGATAGTGAAGTATGATTCGTAACATTGCAATATTTTGGATAAAATGGCTTTAAATTTTTTGTTTAACTTGAACTTATTATTTCCAAAAATAACGACATGCCAAAAATAACACACCCGATAATTAAGTGAACTGAAATGAACGTAGAAGAGAACAGGTTACAAACGTTTAGTGATTGGCCCCCTGATACAGCAGTTAATGCGTCAAGAATTGCTAAAGCCGGTTTTTATTATACGAAACAAGCTCTAATAGTTGAGTGCTTTGCCTGTAAAGTGCAAATTTCGACTTGGAATTATGGTGATCAGGTAATGGCACTCCATAAACGCATGAGTCCCAATTGCCCCTTTGTTAAGGACCCCAGTACCTCAGGAAATGTTCCTAGCATATTGTCGTCTTCTAGTCTGTCCATTTCTCCAAACCCTTGTGATACGCCCGAATTTAATCCGGAAATACTTAAAGATGAGTCAGTTCGTCTTCAAACATATACCAACTGGCCAAAATCTGATGTAGTAACCCCAGAAAGCCTGGCAAGGGCAGGATTCTACTATTTAAAGCATCAAGACAAGACTAAGTGTGCATTTTGTAGAGGAGTATGTGTTGGATGGGAAGTTGATGATAATCCAGATAAAGAGCACCAAAGGCACTTCCCAAGATGCCCTTTTGTTCAAACTGTTATTAATCCAAGGCTTGCAGTAGTGACTCAGACTGACACCACACAAAACCCACCGGTTGAACTAAATAAAGACATTTCTTTAACAAATTCAAATCTAATATTCCACATAGATCTTGCAGAATTGGGAGTTAACAGCCACAAGGGTCCACATAAAACTGAATTTGCTACTGTTGAGTCTCGATTAAGAAGTTTTGCAAGTTGGCCTGAGGATTTGATACAAACACCTGATTCATTAGCTCAAGCAGGGTTTTATTATGAAGGATCTGGGGATCAGGTTCGTTGCTTTCATTGTGATGGAGGTCTGCGTCATTGGGACCCCCAGGATGATCCATGGACGGAACACGCTCGTTGGTTCCCCAAATGTGCTTATGTCCAGTTAGTTAAGGGAAACGATTTTGTACGAGCCTGTGCATTTGAACAGGACACCGCATTTGGTACAGTAAGTATGCTGGTTATTTTTTATATCATTTGTAGATTAAATGAACTTTTCTTAATTTTGAAAAGGAAGAAGAGGTCCCTCGCAGAAGAAGTGAGCCGGTCCAAAGACGTGAAGTTAGCGATAGGGAAATTCAAGCTCATTTAAATTCTGAAGCAGGACTTGCGGCATTAAGTATTGGTCTTCATGTGGGGAGAGTGAAACAGGCAATCAAAGAAAAGCTAGAGCAAACAGGAGTTGGCTTTTCAACAGCAGATGCCCTTATAGAGGCGACCCTGAACCTTCAAAGGGAAGAGGAAGATATTAGTGAACCTTCTAGTACCCAAATTTCACAAGAAGCTTCAAGATTATTGTCTGAAGTATTAGAAAACTGTATCCCACCCGTATCTCAACAGCAAGAAACCAGCGAAACTGTTCCTAAAGATGATGTAAACGATGGTACAGCAAAAGATGTAGGAAATGATACAGAATTAAAAGAAGTTAGTATAATGAAAGTTCCAAAAATGTTGAGTTTAGAAGAGGAGAACAGGTTGCTGAAGGAAGCTCGACTGTGTAAAATTTGTATGGATTTTGAAGTAGGAATCGTTTTCTTACCATGTGGCCATTTGACCACTTGTGTCAACTGTGCCCCAAATTTAAAGAATTGTCCCGTTTGTAGATCTGCTATCAAAGCAACAGTTCGAACTTTTCTATCGTAGCCCCCAAAGGGTTTTAGAGAAACGTAATTGAGGGTGTTTATTTCTTTCTTTCCTTTTTTTCTGAATTTCCTTAAATTTAATTCTACCGTTTTTATCATTGTTTTTTATCTGTTTTAAAGTGAATGTTTTATGTACTCCGATGGGCTGTGTGTTATTTTTGGAAATAAAATTTAAAGACTTGATGGCTTTTCATTTCAAAAATAATTATAATCAATATACATAAGTAGTTATAAATAAAAATTCTAAAACTGGTTCCAGTTAGTGATTATTTTTTAATTTTTAAAATGAATTTTTATGTTAATAATATTTGTGCTTTGAAATTTTTTATAGTTTGTGAAGTTAGTGATAATCGTTTTTACTTTTCCAGAGATGTTGCTGAATTTGTAACCAACAAAGTAAGTAGACATTTTATATTCAATTAATTTATCTATTCAGGAATATCCTTTATATGTGGTCTGAATTCATCGAAATCAATCAATATATGATCTAATTTTAAAGACGATCGTATTTTTGTAAAAAAAGTTAAAACTCTTATAAACAACGCAAATCAGTTATATTGACTTATTGATGTCACAATGTAATTTATAAGCAAATATTAAAAACGTAGAAAAGACTTAAACAAGTAAATAAAAGAAATTTACAAATGATTAATAACTGATAAAAAAGTCAATTAACTTTTACAACAATTTCCTGTGGAAAGCAATAAACCACAATCGTAGTATAGTAGTTAACAATAGTTAAAAATGTTAAAAATAATATGGATATATTTACAAATATAAATTGCAATATTCTATTTTTAATATATTGTTAGATATGTATACGTATTAACATATTATAATTAAAAAAAGTTAAAAATAATAGTTAATCACATAAAGGCGAGATGTTGGTTGCCTAAGTTAACGTATGAAAACTTTATTCACAGGGTGTTAAAAAAGGGGACTTTTAAGATAAAATAAAAAACAATGGCTTAAAATTAAACAAATATTAAAACGACAACTTTACACGATTGTTTAAGAGGTGCCTTATACATTTTGATAATAGAAATTCGTTACAAATTCCTTAAAAGCTACTTACAATAGGTTCTGATCATTAAAATAAATTGCCATGGAATAAACATGCAAAAACGTGTTTTCAATTATAAACTGATAAAAAGTTAAAGTAATTTGATTTTATTCCAGTAAACAACATTTTGTTCAGTCGCTTGCAACCGAAATCAAAACCAACATTAATTACACTTAATTTATATTATTGCGTTTACTGTCAGTAATTTTAGTCAATCTCATCATAAAATCTAATTTAATAATTTCCTTTGGCGTATTATTTCGCCGAAAACCTAATAAACTAAACAACGCCCAAACTGTAGGTAGATAAATAATCGGTAATTTGTCGTTTAATACGATCTGTTTTTTCCACCTACACATCAATTATCACTGGGATGTTGTTAAAAAGGGTACTTCACATTCATAATTAGATCTTTATTTATCTACATTTGAAGTTACGATTCGTTAAAAAAAATAAAATAAATAAATACATCCAGTGTTGTGGAGCAGACGCTGAATCAGGATGAAATTATTGATTAAAGGATAAATATTGAATTACCTCCTTAAAATCCTTAATATAATGGACAAATAAGGATACCGTTCGATTTTTTTTGTGATTATAACTGTACACTGAAAATTTTAACACGTACTGTTTGATACGTGGCTCAAAGAGTTAATCCGAAGAAAGCAACTACATTTCTGCATTAATTGATGAATCATTATTAAAACCGACTTGTGTTTTACACGTACAAAGGTCGACATAAAATTAATACGAAATGCACTTGTGGTCAAATGTGGTATATACGTACTTGTATGTACAGTTATGTACTTTTATGCATACTTAGGCGTACAGCATCGGTCCGATGGGGACCATTGTTACTTATTTGGGACCGCTACAGTGCGTGAAAATATTCTCTGTCAATGTTAAAAATTTTTGTGTACAAATACATCGTATATAAACTTAATTGCGTATATTCGAATGAAACCTTTTAGTGAGATTTGATTATTCAATTAGTTAAGTAATTATTGAGACAGGAAATGGCGACGAAAGAATTTTTAATCACCTCTGATGATTGCTACTTAATAAAGCAAAATGGTCTTTGAAAGTTACTTATAAAAGTTACTTTTAATGGCATTTACGTTCTAAAAGCTTTGTAGATTTTTGAACAACAAGAACAAGAATTATTCATTATATTTATTTTACATTTATCACAAGTCAATGAAGTCATCATCGGGATTGTACAAAATTATTCACCGATGATGCTCGTCTTAATATCTACCATTGTATGTTGGAGAAATTAAAAAATATTTTTTCAATTCAGTACATAATAGACACTAATTCGTTTATTTTGTTTTGCATTTGCTTCGTTTTGTTTAACACCAGATTATGGGTTTTTGCTGGTGTTACATAACTTTTTTCACCTACTGTACCAAGCAACTGTAGTACCAGCCATGGTACATGTGGGCGTAGTGTGTTTTGTAGGAAGAATGAGAACAAAACAAAAAGAAAACAATATAATGAAATTCGCCCACAACATCAAAGCCATTCTTGGTACTTTTAAGTCCCCAAATAAAGATATTTCTAATGAGAATCACTGTTTATACTTTATTATTAAATAAAGAAAACAAACAATCTGAATCATCAGCAAAGAGAATAAGGACATAAATAACAAATAATTATTATTGTAAATTAATTATAATCAGTTTAATTACTGTACAAACGTCTCTTAGACTTCGATCAACTGATTATTGTTATTGACCAACTTATTGTATTCGCCACACAAATAACAACAAAAGGAAAATAACTTCTTTTCAATATTATTCTTTATCATTTAATATAAGTTATATTTACATTTACACTTACTACTAAACAAGAATAATGTTAATTGTGACACGTATAGTTGTATACTGAGATGCTCACCATTTCTTCATTTATTTCTGTTTCTAAATAATATGTCTAAGCGTCTATAAAACCATAAAAATGAGATACCGACTTGAAAAATAAAATAATCTAAAGATAGAAAAGCGCACCTGAAATTTCTGGGAAATGGAAGATATTCACTAAGCCAAAAGAAGTAATTATTATGTAAAAGAGTACGAAGAATCTCATTGTGCCAAAGGTTTTGGAGTGCAGTGTCAAATAGATACTCTCCGGCATTATTCTGCTAAAATGTATAAAGTAATCTAAACATAGAAAAGCGCTCCTTAAATTTCTAGGAGATAAAAGATATTCACTAAGCCAAAAGAAGTGATAATTATGTAAAATAGTACGTATAATCTCATGGTGCCAACGCTTTTGGAGTGCGGTGTCAAATAGATAGTTTCCGGCATTATTCTGCTAAAATATATAAGGTAATCTAAACATAGAAAAGCGCTCATGAAGTTTCTGGGAGATAGAAGATATTCACTAAGCCAAAAGAAGTGATAATTATGTAAAAGAGTACGTAGAATCTCATGGTGTCAACGCTTTTGGAGTGCGGTGTCAAATAGATACTTTACGGCATTATTCTGCTCAAATATATAAAGTAATCTAAACATAGAAAAGCGCTCCTGAAATTTCAGGGAGATAGAAGATGTTCATTAAGCCAAAAGAAGTGATAATTATGTAAAAGAGTACGTAGAATCTCATGGTGCCAACGGTTTTGGAGTGCGGTGTTAAACAGATACTTTCCGGCATTATTCTGCTCAAATATATAAAGTAATCTAAACATAGAAAAGCGCTCCTTAAATTTCTGGGAGATAGAAGATATTCACTAAGCCAAAAGAAGTGATAATTATGTAAAAGAGTACGTAGAATCTCATGGTGTCAACAGTGTTTAAGTGCGGTGTCAAATAGATACTTTCCGGCATTATTCTGCTCAAATATATAAAGTAATCTAAACATAGAAAAGCGCTCCTTAAATTTCTGGGAGATAGAAGATATTCACTAAGCCAAAAGAAGTGATAATTATGTAAAAGAGTACGTAGAATCTCATGGTGCCAACGGTTTTGGAGTGCGGTGTTAAACAGATACTTTCCGGCATTATTCTGCTCAAATATATAAAGTAATCTAAACATAGAAAAGCGCTCCTTAAATTTCTGGGAGATAGAAGATATTCACTAAGCCAAAAGAAGTGATAATTATGTAAAAGAGTACGTAGAATCTCATGGTGTCAACAGTGTTTAAGTGCGGTGTCAAATAGATACTTTCCGGCATTATTCTGCTCAAATATATAAAGTAATCTAAACATAGAAAAGCGCTCCTTAAA